TGTGGTGTAATGGGGAGGAGAAGTGCTGGCGTGGCCTTGCATTTGGCACCATTTCCCAGATCTTGTTCTGACAGAGGGGCTTGGCACAGACACTGCTCCAAGGGGGCCCTGCAGTGGAGCAGTGTCTGCAGCACTGTGGCCTTGCCAAGGCGCTGCACAAGGCAGACAGGGATGGCAGCAGGAGTGGTGGCTGGGGTGAGTAGGGGCACACAAGGCTGCCAGCCAGGGACCTCATCTCAGGGTAGCAAAGTCTGAAAGGGAATGGGACACAGCAGGAAGAGAAAGAGAATGACCTATCCATGAAATCAGACCTTTCCTGCCCACCAAAACTGTGCGCGAGCACTGGCTCTCACAAAGAAGCTTGAGGGTAGGAAGTAATGATTTACAGAGGGTACCAGATAATGCATTCTGTGGATGCAGAGGGTTGGTGTATAGAGACCTCCATGCCTTTGTCTCAGCCTACAGCGATGTTCCCATTGCCGGATATGTATCTGGGTCTAATGCAACACAATGGCTTTGCGATGCTGTGGGGCATAACGAGAGTGCACTGAGCAGTTAGGGCAGGGCTGTGACCATTCACAGGGAAAGACTGGCAGTGTAGCCCAGTCAATCTGAGAGTGGTTGGGCCAACACAGGAGCAGAAGAGGACAGGCGTAGCCCTGGCCCTCGCCTCAAAAATGCTGCTATGCAGAGCGGAGACAAAAGCAGAGAGGACACATTCCTGTCTCTGCAGCAGCCTTGCATATACTTGGCAGCTGTCAGACATATAAAGAGAAGCTGTCAGCACATCCCCCTCAGTTTCATAGTTTCTAGGCTAAACAATCCAACCTAATTTATATTTTCACCATAAGCTGCTTTGTCCAAACCTTCCTCTTAAGGACTCTTAGGTGAGTTTTCTTCTTCCGTGAAACCCAAGCCCCTGGCTGAACACCAAGTCCCAGAAGAAGCAGCAGCACTACCAGGCAGAAAATTAGGCATCTGAACCTGAGCAGGCTTCTTGCAGGCTATGTGTTCGTTTACACAGATGCACGACGCCTCCTTTTCCATGGCAGCTGGTCACTACAGCAGAGCAGTCTTCAGCGTGAGATGGAGCACTTGCCCAGTACTCCTCATTCTTTTTCTCGCTGGGGTTAGCTTTTCTGCCCCAGGTTCAGTGCTTTGTACATTCCTCTGCTCATCTGCACCCTCGTTTGTAGAACGAGCAATTACAAATAAACTACTTCCCCAGGGGTGTCAGTGTGGGCTGTGATAGAGGCTGATTTTAGTTCCAAAGCAAAGAAGCTCAGTAACTTCCACCATGCATGTGCTCAGTGACCATGATAATAGTGTATACTTTTGCTATCAGTATGCCTGTCAGATCCCTTTTTAGCTTTACTAGGCTCTTGGCTTCGATGCCTTCCCCTGGTGTAAATGATCTGGGAAAGGGCTGAGGGGTAACATTGTTATCAATGTATCAATACCCAGGACATCCATATCTCAAACACCATATGCTGTCTAAATGTCTCATCTTAAAAGGGTAGAAAAGAAATTATCAGCTGGGAAAGATGGCAAGGAGCTGCAGTGTCACAAATAGGGCAGTGCGTGTACATAGCAAATAATTATTACCTGTGTCTTATGATAGAAACTAGGAAGCACCAGAAGAAATAATTGGGCAGATGGTCTAAACCCAACAAAATAAATTACTTTTCACATTGCACGTAATTACATAGCAGAACTCTTGACTTCACAATACCCTCTGAAAACCAGAAGTATAAATGTCTGTTCTTGGGTAGCACTGAATTCCCCAAATCCAGTTATACAGCAGATCGTAAAAAAACCACCATCACCAAATGAATAAAAAAGAAGGATCGGGAATTATTAATGATTAGCAGAGGGGCTTTCCACTTTTCATAAAGTTCATAAAGTCTCAAAGTATTGGTATCTACAATCTGGTGATGGATCTGAGCCCATTCCTTTGCTGAAGACAATAGGGGAATTTCCTGTAGCAATTTTATAGAAAGTATCTGTGATTTGCTGTACCTTTGCCCTCCATTGCTATTATCACAAAGGATCAATGAGTTAATTCCACCCCCACGTGAGAGAAATAAGATACAGCAGCCAGCACATGGACATGGCTGAACTGATGTGAATGAACCCTCACAACATACCTTGGACATAATCTTCCAGTGAACAGGAGGCAAGACAACAGCCAATGCAGAGGAGCAGCCATGGCAACTTTGGTGAGAGCATGGGGCAGGCAGCCATGAGACAGTCGGGAGATGAGATCTGGGGGTGCAGGGACAGATCTGGCAGTTGCACCCTGCCCAGCCCTCCTCTAGGCCAGCCTGCAGCTGGTTGAAGGACAATGCTCGCCTGGAAAAGGTTATCCCAAGTCACAGCAGCAGCTGCTGGCTGTTTCCACAGGCATGATCAGGTCACAGCTGGCCATGGGAGGCTCTACAGCAGGGAGCTGGAGCAGCCAGGATTTCAGCATGGGCAGCACCATTCTGCCACTCTCTGGAGACAAACACAGGCAAAACAGGGCCTGCACAGACTTGCTGTGTCAGAGGGTGGAGGACATGGAGACTTGAACAGACATTCATAAACTTGGTATTTCTTGGGGAAATCTTTGCATGACTGTGGTGTCCCAGGAAGGCAACGGTCACAGAAGCCCAGGACCTTCTGGTGAGGACCCAGCTATTGCAGGTTCTGTCATGTTAATTCCTTTCATAAATCTGTGAATGCTCACCTCATGCTAGTTGAAAGCTGACTAAGGCTTAGATTAGGGACACAAAATCCATGCACCCATTGTGGGTTTCATTTATGTGCTACAAAGTACGGACAGTTTCTGCACAGGCACACCATAAATCTAAAACTTTCCCAGCTTCCAAGGGCCATGGGCATAGACACAGAGGTAAATTCCTGATGTGCTGGGAATCCTTGCTGGTGTATTCAGTATTGGGCAGAGAAAGACGACAGCAGGGTGACATGATGCAGGTACAAGAGGCTCCTGCATCATGGTCAGGACATTCTCTTGCTGCCAGCACCTCTCCCAGACCCTCACATTTGCCTCAGTGACTGCCAAAACTAAAGACCGATAACGAGTATATTTAAAGGCTCCCAGAGCCAGGGAGTCTCCGGGAAATTCTCTCTTCACTGAAAGAGCTTCCTACTGCCTCTGTGTGTGTGTGCAAGTCAGGGTGCATGGGACACAGGAAAGACCCAGCGCAGAGGCAGTGAAGCCATCTGCACCACTGCAAGGAGCAGCAGAGTCACACAGCCAATGCGACACATTGCAGTCAAGCAGCCAGTGTGACCCATGCTCCTTGACCACGTGCAGCTTTTACTCGTGGGCCAGCTTGTACTGTTACCGGAAAGCGGCAAAACAATTCACTCTCTAAAACTTTAATTTGGAGTTTTAAAAAGTGGGCATCCTTTACTGCAGCGCTGGATGCACAGGGGATAGCTCCAGCGAAATGTGCACGCCGAAAAGACACAGTTACTAGGTATTTATGCTATGTTAACATACATATTCTTTACATTTCCAAGAAATGCTTATCATGTTCATGGTTTTTCCGAGAACTCATTAGCATATGTTAATGTCCTTCATGCATGTTTGTTGGTGACTCTTGGTGGTTGTCAGGGGTCTTCAGATGAAGGCTTGTACTCTTCATCATGGTGTCTGCTGGTTGACCTTTGCTTTTGCAAACTCAGTTCTGAGATCACGTATACCATGTCTTTCAAGGATGCTTTGTTCCGGTCTTATGGTCATCTTGCAGCCTCCTTATCTCTGTAGTTTACACATCTGCTCTCCCAAGGCCAAGCCGCCTAAATGGATTATTCAGGAGTGTCTTATCTTACAACTGTCCCAGTTATTCACAAAGAATCAAGACTTGCTTTGGTTGTGCAATGGTTCTGACAACCGAAAGTGGTAACTTTTACCTACATCTGCTACATCTGTTTGCTCCATTCACAGGTATCAGTACTAGCGAACAGGGGTGCAGCACAACAAGGCATGACAAACACAGAGAGGTGGGAGGGATGGTTGGTGGGCAGAGCACCCTGGGGGGACGGGCAGGGGTGAGTCGAATGGCCCAACAGCATTTACAATGCCTGCTCTGGCAGGCAGCGAGAGGAACCGAAGGGAACTGAGGCAGGCTGAGGATGCAGGGCCTGCAGCCCAGGCTGCAGAGTTGAAGATGAGATCTCGAGCCTGCTGCTGGATTTCCCCACTGAATTCCAAGTACAAGGCACTGCAAGGCATATAATACAGTTTAGATGTATTAGTTTAGCTCTTAGTATTAGTTCCTGATTTGTGATTGCAAATTTAATTTTTCCTGGATAAAACCCCAAACACTAAAATGATGATAAAATATGTGTGTTCACCACCACTAGGCATGACAATGGCCTCGCTTCCCAGGACACTTGCCTGCATGTAGAGCCTCCTGTGCTGATGGCCCCCCTGTTGGGTGCAGGCCCCTCCTTAGACGCAGGCCCCTCACATCATCTGTATTCTCAGGGACAAACTCTCCAGCCCAGTTAGAGCCATCGGTCAGTGGCCAGAGAAGAGGCCATATCAGAAAGCAACATAGGGCTGTGCCATCACCTCCTCAGCACACAGAGGTAAGGACTGGTCAGGTCTCCCCACAAGCTGGAGAAGCCACGCTTGCTCCGCTTACCAGGCCTCATCTCACAACACCTCGGAGAGGTCTCCCACCTCCTGGATTGCCTCCTCCATGCTGTCCAATCCCTTGCCTGGTGCTTCAGCAGAAAGCACCATTACTTTAGCACTGAAGCCCCTGCAACTTCACCAGCCCCAGGCTTCTCTTAAATCTTCCAGCAGCTGCTACCTGTGTCTTGCTTTTGCCTGCTGCTGGGCGGCTCTAGCAGCCTTCCATACTGTGCTGTGCCCTGTCATGCCATGCCATGCTGCGCTATGCCGTTCCCTGCTGTGCTGTGCTGTGCCCTGCCGCACTGTGCCCTGCTGCACTGTCACATGCCCGGCTGTGCTGTGCCATGCCATGCCCCAGACCACCACGCTGTTCCCTGCTGCACTGTGCCACGCCATGCTGTGCCGCATCATGTTGCATCATCACCTGCCATGCTGTGCCATGCTGAGCTATCTGTGCTACGCTGTGCTGTGCCACACCATGCCCTCCCCTGCCCAGCTGCGCCTGGCTATGCCATGCTGTACTGCGCCATGCTGTGCTGAGCCTTGGCCGTTCTTAGTCACAGTGCCCTGCATGCCTGTCTGCTTCTCCAGTTTGCCCTCAGCAGCAGAGCGCTAAAGAGCAGAGAAGGTCCCACAGGTAAAACCCATTATGCCCAACATCCTGTAGCTCCGCACAACACCTGTTTGGTTAGACTGAAGGCAAGAAGGGACACCTGAACATTGGCATTTACAGTTAACCGCTGCCTGTGGACTGCAACGCGGAGCGGCTGGCCCTGCAAAAATCACTGCGCCCAAGCCTGAGGGAGCAACAGCCTGGACTATGATGAGGACGGAATTACCTTCAGGATAGTCAGCATCCCAGAAATTCATAAAGATTGCTCTCAGCAATACTTCGAAGTGTCACTGCCTCCATTCAGACTTCTCTAGCAGTTGAGCAAGGCCCCGGGTTTGGACATAGGTCTGCAGCACAACGGGGCAGAAGGGAGGCTGTCCTGGGCTGGCTGTCCCTGTTACCAAACATTCAGGTGCCATAATGCAGGAGCATCTCCAGCTGCAGCTCACTTCCACACATGCCTGGCAAGAACCCTGTCCCCAGGCACAACTGCTGGGGAGCTGCTGGTGCCAGCTCTTGCCAGTGGCCCAGACAAGCCCCTGGGGTGGCCGTGGTCAAGTGAATATTTCAAGGATAAACTCGTTAATTGAGAACAACGCAGATGAGCAAGGACCATCAGAGTTACACTGAAATGATTGGGCTAGTGGGCGACCACTCTGCATCCGCAGCTCCGTGGGTCAGGGCTTTCGCCAGTACCACCTACACCTGTGCCAAACGACTTAGTGTTGTGGTGTCCATGTCATGGAGGAATGAAACCCAAGAAGGATGGGACAGGTTTCTCCCATATACCTTCCAGGACCCTTCTGCAGCACGGCCTAGAGATGCACAAGAACCCTGTGCAGGAGAAGGAGGTGACTGGTGGCCCCCTCTGTCTGCCACCGCTGTGTGCAGAAGCACGGGCAGGGGCTGCGTGGGGCAGGACGAAGGCCCTCGTGCAGCGTCCTGCTGTGAGCACAGCAAGTGGACAGCCACCGCCAGCCCAGCCTGAGGCT